CTTTCGGAATCTTCAAAGAAATCAGCAACATCTAAATGTGTTAAGTTACCGAAATCTTCGAGAGGAACATTGTCACAAACATTACTTTGATATATAAAATTTGCCTCTATATCACTTTCTTTTTTTCCAATGAGGCTTGATAAAGCTCAACTAGGTGTTTTGGCGTATGACGGGTATGTTACCAATGTCCCTTCATACCACATCTATAACATTCATTTTTGGAGTGCCGACTTGATCCACCTTTATTCTTTTCTTGTTTCTTTTCATAATTTATCCACTTCAGGGATGGGTTGTATTATTATTACCACCATAATTATAACGATAATTATTTCGACCACGACTATTGCCACGACCACGTCCACGTCCATGGCTATGGCCACGACCACGTCAACGCCTAAAATTATTATAAGATGTCACATTCACTTCGGGGAATGGAGTAGATCCGATTGGGCGAGATTCATGATTTTTCATCGGTAACTCGTTATTTTGTTCAGCCATAAGTAAGCATGAAATCAATTCAAAGTATTTCTTAAAACCTTTTTCTCAATATTCGTCATTGTACGAGCATATTCGAGGCATGAAAAGTAGAGAATGTTTTCTCTAACATATCGGAATCGGTAATATTTTCTCACATACTTTTAGTTGGGAACTGATTCTAAATATCGCAGAATTATACTCACTTACGGTTTTAAAATCTTGTAACCTTAAGTGCATCCAATCATAACGAGCTTTTGAAAGAATTACCATCTTTTGGTGGTTGTATTTTTCCTTTAAATTTTTCCACAGTTTACGTGGATCTTTCACTCGTTAAATCTTCGGTTTTCAAATCCTCATGTAGATGATGATGAAGGAAGATCATTACCTTAGCATGGTTTTGCAAGGATTCTTGATTATCATCCATGATTGTTTGTCCAAGGCCAGTAGCATTTAAATGTATCTCGAGCATCAAGCACCCATGATAAATAATTCTTGCTCGAAATGTCAAGGGCCACAAAATCAAGCTTTTTGAGGTTTGACATGGTAAAAATTATCTTAATAGGCTAGATGATTTATGTCGTTTGGTAGCACAATCGTGCCGATAACGTGTTGTGAAAAATAAAAGATATATGAGAATTTAAAGGAAGGATGACAAGAAGAAGAATTCACTATAAAGTGAATACAAGTGAGAAAAACTTCAAGTTATTCTCTTAATCTCTAAAAACTTGTACATCAACAAATGAATAATTAAGCCTATATATAGGCCTCAAAATTTAGATGAGAATTGGAATGGACTATGAATAATTAAAAGTACATCAATTGCATCACCCTTTCAATTTCTCATATTGAATAGTGAATTGAATCACATTAAGAATCATAAGTAGTGGGGATATGAAAAGTAGATGGACATTCATTATTTTATAACATTATTAATATTGTTTAGAATTAAAATTAATTTTTTAAAAATATTTAATAATAGCTAGCTTTAAGAAATTTTTGATGATTTTGTTCTTTATAGATCTAATTTTTGTTGTTAGATAATTACTAATGGATAATGAATCTATCTAGTAAAAAAATATTATTTTTTAAAAATAAATTTTAATTCTTAAAAATATTAAAAATCTTAAAACAACATCATTTAAGCATTTTAGTTAACAATCAACAATTTGATCACCAAACATAATAAAAAATAATAAAATTTGTCCAAAAATAAATAGTTTGAAGTCCAAATAGTCCAAAATTGATAATATAAATTTTATTTTGTTATAATCCTAGTAGTTTGGAGGTAAATTATGACATTAAATTTATGGTTAACATTGGTGAAGACAATGTTTCTTTATTTTTCACAGTAAAGGGATTAACTAATTAGTTGACATAGACTTCAAAGACTAGGATGTAATTAACTCTTAATTGAAAACTATTGCGCAATTGGTCCAATTTTTAATAAACCGTGAAGATTGAATTTTCAATTTTTTTTTTTTTTGGTTAGAAACAAAGGGAATCCATGGGTTTTTCCAAAGAACAAGAAAACAAACGGAAAGAAAGAAAGCCCAGAAAACCAAGGCCTGAACACGGTTAAAGTCCAAAAGACATAAATCTTCCGATAGGCCCAAACTCAACACAAATACTCAAAATCTTTCACCTTCTATCTCAACTGGCTCACTCTTTCTCCACTCTCCTTCCGCTTTCTCTTCTTTCTGGATTTCACTACACTCTGTCTACTCTCTCTCTCTCTTCGGCCACGAGACATGGGTAGAGCTCTCCATCTACTGTCGAAAGAAAGAAAGAGAAGGGTTTTTGAGAAAAAGAAAATTGGGGGCTTCTCGAGAGAGAGATAAAGGGTTTCTTTCTAGGATGATTCGCAAGGCTTTGAGAGAAATTATGCTTGCGTGAGGTTTCAAAGGAGGAAATCAGGAGAAATATGAGCATTCGCAAAGACAAGCTTTGAGTTAGCAACTTCATTTAGAAGGTAGCAAAGCAGGAGCATTCTAGCAATCTCTTTGAGGTATAATTTCTAAAACCCTGAGATTGATTTGGGTTCAAAGCTAGAATACATTTTAGTTACAGGCTTCATTTTGGATTAATGTTATCTATTCCCATTGGCACCTGCTTTTTGAATTTTGTGTGATTCGTTCCTAATTTAAGCTTAAAGTTTGGGTCAACTTAAATGGACTAAAAACGCTTTATCATTGACATAAAATGGACATTCTGATGACTCTAGAGTGGAATCAGTCTGCATTGAATAAATTCGCTGTCTTTTTGTTTTCTGTGTACTGATTTCTATAGCTGAGCCTGATAGTGATAGATTGTTTGTGTAGTTGACCTCTTTAGATTGAGCTCACTGTCATCTGAGTTAATTTTAGCACTTGATTTAGTTTCCTTGCCTTTTCGAGATGGGCATGGTGTACTGAGCATCAAATGAAAACATTTCTTCTGCAAAGTTTTCCAACTCCTTTTAACTTGAGGGTTTTTATTTTAAAAAAAATTCCATGAGAACTCATTTGACTAAATTTCTTTTAATGTCATGTTTCACCTTCACTTTCTTCCAAACAATTAAACTTCTAAAATCAATTTGCTTATTTCATTTCATAATGGAGAGTTCCCCAAAAAGAATAAATAAATAAATAAAATAAAACATATTTCAACTTGCACTCATTTGAATAATTTTCAACCCTTTAGAAAAAAAAAAAAAGCAATTTTTTTTTTCCGTGACCATATTTCCAACCCACATTAATGGATCAATGCCACCCACATATACCTTCAAGAGGACACTTTTGTCTCTCGATTGGAGAAACAGGAGATTTCAAAAATCTTTCTCAACATTTGTCTCTTATTTTACTTCATTGATTTTCAGAAAATTATTCGTTTAAATATTTAATCCCTGAATCATAGGAATTAAGAATGACAGCCTTTCTTGGAAATGATGATGACAGCCTTTCTTGGAAATGATGTTGAAGGATGACATTACGTCTTCCCTTCACATAATCAATCTCCAGACGATAGAATTTCTTAGTCAACCAGTAGATTAGATTTTCCCTGCTTTTCCTTAAATTTGGGTGGCCAACTCTACTTTATTTTATTAAGTGAGTCCCAGGTCGCAATACGAGCACGAATCAATCTTCCTTTACCATGCAGATTTGGTCATCATTGCAAGATTTGGTCATTATCGCAAGTGTTACTTGGAAGGATTAATCCCCATTTGTCTTCCTTGTTTGACCATCTTTCAAAATTTATTAAGATTTATGTTTCCAGGCCAGTAATGAAGTACACTTACAATACTCCATTCAAGCACTCCATTATCGTATAGAAAGTTGATCTTGGGTGCCACTTTTTTTGTTGTGTGTGTGAATATTAAGAATAAAATGAATGCTTTTTACAGCAGCAACAACCTTCGTATTAGATTGAAGCAAATCTTTTAAGAAATTAATAGTAGAGACTGTATGCTGTTTCAAATTTCTCTGCTAAGATTAGGGCAAGACGTTATTTTAACCATGTCCGAACTTAAAAGTCCTTTGGAGTTGAGGGACTAGAGCTTTAGAGAATTATAAATTTTTTTTTTTTTTAATTATTATCCGGTATTGCGCAGAAGTAGTATAGGGCTTGTTTTATGAGGTTTGAGATTTGTGTTTCAGAGAAACTGTACTTCTTGAATAAGGAAATAACAACAGTCAAGTCTGTGTGGGGTTTCCAAAAAAGGACAGGCTTGGAAGCAGATAGAGCAGAGATTGGGGACAACCCACATGTATTTTTAAGATATGACAGTAAATGAGACTTCATTTGTACTTTTATTATTTGTTGAGATGTGTTTGAGAGATGAAAATACCTGATGGGTTTTGAAAAATAACAAAATTCATACTGAATTCTTGAATATCTAACAACAAAAGTTTAGAATCTTACTGAGGAATTTTTACATTAGTAGCTGAAATTTGAAATGAACTTACCTCCTTTATTGAGAGGGATTGTTTTACTTACTGATGTAGCAATTTTAGGACTTTAGTGAAAGCGGAACCCACAAATGTATAACCTTTAGTTTGTGTTGCAAGGTTTTAACTTTCAAAAGAACTAATAAGCTTGAAACTGAGAAAAAGACTTGCTGATTTAGGAAGTTGGAGTTTCTCCAATGGAGAAGGATTAGCTTTTAGAAAGGGAAGAAGAGGTAACAAGTTTTGTTCCTGAAGGTTCCTTCTCTAGCTATTCCAATGATTGAAGTCCTTCGAATATAGTCAAATTGAAAATCTAAATATCCATCGAATATTTATTTATTTCACATACAAGCACTAAATTGTGTAGTCTCAAACAATCCATTATAAAGTTGTAGCAAACCAGACTACCTCATACTCTATTAGCAGAATCTAATAAATGCTAGTATACACTCTCACAAACTAAATAATAAAGAAGAAGGATTTCCTTAAAAACTCAGGTTGTGTATATATAACTTTACCTAATAACCTAATGGCGTGATAGGGGTTGGGAAATCATACCAACCACACAAGTCGATACACCAGTAGTTAACTGGACCGAGATCAACATGCACCGTGATCTGACTGAGGCCGGTTGCTTGATGGCTTGCCAATCTGTAGGCAGCTAATTGGAGGCATGGTAGGAGTGGTCAACTCTCCAAAAGTCTGCCAGCAGAACGGATCGTAGAGGTGATACTGTTCTTTTAGTGGTTTTAGCTCTATGGCAGTTAGACTTACATCCACGCATGGTAGGGCATCACTGCAGGCAAAGTGTACGGGTTTTACTGTGTAAGTTCCTCTTATTTTTTCGTAGTTGATTCCTGAGAGAGCCACTGCTGATGTTTGGTTTTTGCATTTGCTTTTGTCACAATAGAATTGATCAATCACTATTGGAAGTTGAACCTCTGAAACTTGAATGTTTGAGAACAATATCCCTTGTACAGAGCCTGATCCACCCTGCAGATTTTACAGTTGAAATTGTACGTGAGTCACACCATGAGCGACTTGGTTGAATTGGAAATGCTACAATTTGGTTTATAAAAACCTTGCAGGCTAAATAAAAAAGGCTCCAGCAGTAGCTTGAAGTAATGAGCTTGGGGATGTCGTGCATGCAAAAAGACAGAACACTATGTTTAGCTGTTGGAAAAACTCTTTCTGAGTCAATGTTTCAGTTAGAATGTTCATTCTATTTTTAAAAGAGGAAAAGTGTCTTAGAATGTTCTCATTCTAAAATTTGTAGTAGACAAGGGAAGGGTGTGTGCAACAGTAGTGTGGACCTTTTGAAACTGGAAAGCTTCATTTTGATTCATATCTTTGTTAATTATGTAATATACTATTTCTTGCTCAGTCTATGTTTTGTTTGTAAAACCCCTAGAAATCAACTAGAGTTCTGGTTGCACTTAACAAATTTTGAATAATATGGTATTGCAGATATGAAAAATACCTGCCATGTCTTAATTCTGACACCGGTCATTGTGCCTTGCAAAACAACATCTCGCACGGTGATGTTTGAGACACAAGCTTTGGTATTATCCTTTCCCAGACCTCCAATGCTGATTCCATGTCCTGGTCCGCAATTAACATTGTGTATGTATACATTTGTGCATCCGGTTTGTATAGAAATACAGTCATCTCCTGCATAAATCACAAAGTTTAAACATTTCATTTCGGAATAATTTTGACATATGGACCTCTTAGCTCTGCTATCTTGTTCAAATTATCGGCTTTGAGTTTGAAACTCATTTGCCTATTTGGATTCCAAGTCGTTTCTCGCTGTATTTGAGGTTTTGCATCTCATATCAATGCTGTCATTTCTGGAATTAAAAGCTTCTTTCGTACGTACTTGACATAATTTGACCTATTTAATGTTTTTTTTTTTTTTAATGTATATGCTATGCTATATGTTGTGAGGCCTTTTCTTAGAAAGCAGAGTAGTAGAAAGGGTTGGAAGCAGAAGCTCTAATCACTGATAAAGACAAAAGAAAAATTGAGGGCATGCAACAAAAGGTGTGTTCTTGTGCCTTTGGGGCCAAACGTAATCCTATATTGGGCTCAGATAATGATTTAGGGTATGACACGTGTGAACTGACAAATATCCAGTATGCTCAAAATGTGGAGGTTTTTGGTTGCCATGTGTCAAATAAACAGTGGTTGTTGAATGTCTGTACGGGAAGTTCATGAAAAGGATAAGATTATGCCAATTTTTACTCAGAATCCTATCCCAGGTATGTAAATTATGTGGTGTTATTTTGTATGTAATTCTAACAGTAGCATCGGGTCTTGTCTTTTTTGTAGTGGCTGAGCCTCTAACCTTATATTTTACTCTTCAGATCTTATGTTTGTTTGTCAAGTTCACTCTGTGGCCCACTTTATCTAATTAAATATGATATGGCAATATTATTTATTTTCAATCAATGTAATTACCGCAAGCAAGATCAGTGCTATGAATTAGCACATCTTTGGAGTTCTGCAGGTGGATTCCATCTGTATTTGGACTGTTTCCTGGAGATGAGGTACTCATATCATGTACAACGACTCCGACGCAGTTGTCAAACTTGAGGTGGCATTGTGGACTGTTTTGAATTGTTATGCCTGTGACTGTCACATTGAAACTTCCATAAAATCTCAGTGCCTGCAAAAAGAAAGCATGTCGATCCTGTTATGAAGTGCATGCTTATGATTTGAGATAGAAATCTTCATAGTTTTCTTGTCGTCCTTACAGTGGGCTTGATGCCTGACATTTTCCCGCTGAGTTCGCTTCTTACCTGTGGCACAATTTGGAAAAGAGGCATGATTAGATTCAGATAGACACTGCAGAAAATAATTTCTGTGGAAGTTAAGAATTGAAGGTAATTACGGGCATCGGTGGGTGCTGTTGTACTGTGTTGTTTAGTGGAATAATGAGTTGTGTTTCACCGTCTATAGGACTGTCAAATGGGTAGTCTTGCCACCATACTGAGCCACTTCCATCTATGGTGCCTGTTCCCTGAATTGTGATTCCTACAAGCTTTGTGAATAGAAGCCATTGAAAGAGACCTCTACCCCAAGCATTGGAGTTTGGGGCAATAATTTTGCCATCCAGCTGAGAAAAATAAAACTCATCGTATCATGTCATTCATCAAACATGAAGTGCATGAATTGCTGCCATTTTCTCTCTGAGTTCTGTATTTGATACTTACTTGAAATACAATGTTTGGTTGACAGTACGGACCAGCGAAAGAAACAGGTCCCACAAGGAATACATGGTCTGCTGGAACGATCATGGCTGATGCAGCGACTTTACAAGCTGCTGCCCATGCAGCTTGGAATGCCTGCGTAGCACCAGAACGCCATGTCAACTATATAGTAAGTAACAAATAACGATAACTATAACTGTACTCAGGGGATCACGGTTGACGGTGGTTTGTGGATAACTGTATGCAATTATTATTGTTCCTTTTATAGGAATGGTCCCCACTTTGGGGTGGTTCTGCTGTCTTTTCCTTTGTATTATTCTGGTGCTTTTTGGAGCTGTTTCAATGTCTGATTCTGAGAAATCAATTTGGTGTACTGCGTTGCTGCAAGAACTGTGGACTGTGGAGCTTATAACTCATCACCGGTGGTTAAAGATGACCAGATGGGTGGAGAATGAGGATGGGGATTTAAGGTAAGGGGAGAATTAGTCCTGATTTGTAATATTGCAAATTCAATTGATCTTTGTTCTCTTATGAACCAATATATGTATATATATAAACGGTATTGAATGTAGCTATGATTTACTCTTGGAATTGATGTGAAAAATGTAATAGTCACGACCTTATGAATTGTGTTTGAAGTTGTTATTAATTAAATTGCATCAACTTTTTTTAATGCAAAAAATCATGTCTTCAGAAGAATGAGACATTACCGTGACATGAGGGCATATGAAGGTTACGTTTCGTGGACAAAAATTCCATATCGTAGCCCCTTAACTAACTAATTATGAATGGCTTTGTGAGCAAACGAAATCTGTTGTTCTTATCACAAAAGAAAAGAAGAGAAAAAAATGAAACCTTTTTTTCACCGATATTAAACATTTTAATTGGAAAAGAGAGATGAATACCTTTGTATCGTCGCTCTTTCCATCACCCTTGGCCCCAAAATCAAGCACATTGAAGGAGGTGGAGCCTTTCTTCGGTGGACTTGGTATTGGTCCATCTTCTTTCGGAGCAGAAGGAGGTAATGATGGAGCTTTATGTGGAGGAGGCTTAGGTTTTGGTTTTGATACTCCATTATGGTGTTGGTGGTGGCTGTTGCCAATGCCTTTTCCTTTCGTCTTGCCCAGAGAAGCTGAGTTTGCTCTGCTTTGCCTCCAATGCTTGCCTCTTCTAGCAATGCAGGTCTCAAAACTTGATGACCAAGCTAGAAAAACAATGAAGAGCATGAATGTGAAGCTTCTAAAATTAAATCCTCTCATGTTTACCATAAGAGTGGGAGAGAGAGAGAAAGAGAGAGATTGTGTATATTTGAGTACAACAGAGCTCTTGAGTTGAGAGACTGCCAAGAAAGAAGTAATGGTTGGGTTTATATAGAGGGGAGCAGTCTAAAGCTCATGGGACTTTATGTTGCGCATATATATGAGCAAAAAATATTTAGAATCTTTTGATAATTCTAGGCTCTAATTAATATTATTCATTCCTTCCTTTTTCTCTTTTTTCCTCTTTAATTAATAAGCTTCTTTTACTCTCTGTGAATTTTGGTTGGGACAAAATTCAGTTGGGCAACAGGGTTTTTCTATGCCAAGTGTCAAAGTTTCGTTGCATGTGACTCGTCCAATTGTTTTGTATGCAAACACATTCATTCTTCACTTATTATCGTTCCAAGCTATATGAAAGAGACAAATAAATTGAAGTGTAGTTTAGTTTAAACCTTGTTCTGCTAGCTTCGAGCCTTTTTTGAAAAAAGAATTAAAAAAAAAAATTGACTATCATTTGTATTAAAAACAAGTCATTTAGGCCAAAATTAGAAGATTAATAAGGGAATTGATGTCTTGAAAAAAAAACCCCAAAAGCGCAATAGCAGCCGATGCCCAGAATGACATATTATTTCGTGTAAAAGCCAAAAAGAGACACGTGAATGGGTCTACAATGTGTCAAGGGCACTGACTATAACAGCTCTTCTATCGTCACATGCAACATTCACGGGCTAGAGTTTAATTTGTTCTCTGTCCTCAGCTTGAGTCTTTAGTGTAGACCACTCAACCATGCCTGCCTACACACTTCAAGATAGCCTCCATTTTAGCTCCTTCTTTTTCCCTTCCCTGTGATCCCAGGAGAGAGATCTTGAAATATATTTTTTTAACAGAAGGAAATAAAATTGCCTGTCTCAGAAGAGAACATATGGCCTCACTTGACTTCAGTTTTGGCGACATCCTTTTCAATTCTCCCCCTGACCTTCCCCTTCTTGAAAAGAAAAGGAAATCAATCAGGGATTACATAACCCAGATAATTCCAATGCATCAAGTACTTGGCAGAAACTGCGAGAAGGAAACATCCAATACGCCCATGGTTTTGCTTTTCCCTGGATGATTACGATAAGTACGATTTGGGGCTGCGAGCTTGGAGGAATAGTGTCCAACTAACAATAATTTGGCACAACAAGCAAACTGGAAGATTAAAAAAAGAAAAAACGCTTTTCTTCAGGTCAGATGTTTAATCTCTCCTTGGAAATGAAGCAGAATTTAATGAAATAAAAAATTTTAATTAATGTCATCAAATTGTAGTACACTACTAAAGTACATAGTGTCGTGAGAGGACAACCCAATGATTAACACTTGGGATTTTTATTATAGTTCTCACATTAGAAAGGATTGGATGTGATATGATTAAGCAGGTGAAGGGGTACTCTCCATTATATAAATCAAAGTTCATTGTCTGTTGTACCTCAATCCCACTGCACTTTTTTTTTTTTTTTAAGAAAAAAGCCTGAAGTCAGGGCTTTTTTTTTATATATATGTATAATTACCTAATAGTAAAACTTTAAGAAAAAGATATCTATCACTATATCTTTTTATAATACGTGCTCTTTTAGTCACACCATTACATAGAAGATCAATCAATTATAATAATTATATTTTCTAACATGTCCATTAGTAAATTTTTTTTGTTAAAACTAACTGAGAGATGCATGCTAATTTAATTATGGTGATACTTAAATGTCCTTTCAAATGTATATAATAACAAACAACATTCTAAATGACTCAATTTTTTCATAAAAGCTTAATTAGATTGTAATACCATCAAAGCATATATCAATTTAGACTCACATGAGATGTCTCCTCTCCGGATGGACCATGTTTTTTCTTAAAGATCGTACCATAAAAAGAATTAAATCTAGATTGATGAGTAAAATAGATATTGATATTGCAAGAATAATCATTTCTATCTCTATATGACCCAAAGCCTTGTGATGGGTAAAGCTTATTCTCATTCCAATCCATATGTTGTGTAGGCTAGATTTTTGTGATGGGTAAAGCCTATTCTCATTCCAATCCATATGTTGTGTAGGTAGACTCTTGTTAAGACTTTAAAAAAAACATGAATTAACATTCTCATTCCAATCCACATGTTGTGTAGGCTAGACTTATAGTCTCGTGCCTGGATAGCCTTGCTAATAAAAGTGTTATAGCGAGATAGAACAAAATAACCTAACAATGATTATGGTAGACTTATCGTGAGTCTTTCATCTCATATTACGTAAATAGTAAAAAGTACGATAGACTAGCCGTGAGCCTTTTGATGCCAAGAATATAAACGAGTAAAAATTTGTAGGTCGGCTAAGAGCTCTCTTGGAAGTAAATATTTGATGTGAATTTTGATTTTAAAAACAGCTTTTTTGACGTGTTCTCTCGTCACCACTAAAATATGAATATCCGAATCAGCTTTCTCAACTAGCAATGTTTGCATCAAATAGACAATCAAATCAAAAGTTATGATCCATTAACTAATAGCATTCTTTTTAAGTGTTAGCCAACACCCATTATGGCAAGCCCTTAATGAAATTTTTTTTAGTGTGTTAGGCGGAACTTGTTGTTAGCCAACACCCATTATGGCAAGCCTTAGCATAATTTTTTTTTTTTTTGTGCTATCCAAAACTTATTATTGGCCAAGGCCAATCATGGCCGATCTCGGTGCCAAGTTTCTCTTCTTCTTTTTTTAGGCTATAGAGTTTTCTAAAAAATAATAAAAAAAAATTAATCAAGTTTATAGACTTGTCAAAGCATACTATGTTCATCACTTCTTGTAGTAACCAAATTTACTCAAAAAAAAAAAAGTATAAGTGGAAAACATTCTTGATAAGTAGATAGCTCTCCAAGTGTCATGCCGGACATTATCACCTATTATTCCGTATAAAAAAATAATTGAGTATATTTACATTCCTCTATTTTCAATTTGGTTAAGATTTGGCAAGAAGGCAGACTCCAAGTGAGAAGACACACCGGTAGAGATTTCATGCTTGGCAACAATTAATGATCTCATTAGATAAAATTCTCAAGAACAACACCGTATGGATTAGTCTCAAAGTTGCTAGTGTTTAAGATGTCATTTTTTTTTAATAAATACTTAGATATCTATTTTGACATATAGACAAAATAATACGAAAGGCCAAAGTTCTTAAGCACTATTTGGCTCATCCCTGGGTTTTATATTTATTGATCATTGATGAAACATAAATTTTTCTTGGGCGCTTAGTAGTCAATGATGAGATTGAATTTTCCTTTCTTATATTATAAATATTTTTTTATGCTCATAGCAGTGCCAACGCACAGACTTAGCTAGATAGACATGGTGTTTCCATTAAAAAAAAAAAACTAAACACAAAAATTTCACAGCACTGGCTAGCATGTAGTTTGACTATATGGATAAGACGTTGCCTCAAAAAGAAAAAATAAACATCAAAGGCTCGAGACTTGGCCAATGCATAACCTAGCCCTATAAATGTAGTGTTACCATCAAAAAGAAAAATTAAGCATGAAAAGCTTATAGTCCGGCTAGCATGCAACTTGACTACATGGGTATGGTGTTCCATTAAAAATAAAAAATTAAGCATGAAAGCTCACAAGTATGACTAATGTATAATTTGACCGAATGGGCATAAAGTTGCCATTAAAAAGAAAAATTGAGTATGATAAGCTCATGACCTCTCCAAGCATGCAATTTGATCAAATAAACATGACATTGTCAACAAAAATAAAAACCGAGCATAAAGCACTCATATCCTAGTGAGTATATAGCTTGGCAAGATGGAATAGCATTGTCAAAAAAATAAAAAAAAAAACCATGAAAAATACATGCTTTGGCCAAAATGCAACTTGGCCTAATGGATATGGCATTGCTATCAAGAAGAGCTCTCGACTTGGCTAGCATATAGCTTAGCCAAATAAATAAGTATTAACATCATAAAGAAAACCCGAGCATAAAGAGGTCACAACTTGGTCGGCGCACAGCTTGGTTAAATGGAGATGATATTGTCATCATCCAAAAAAAAAATTGATCATGAAAAATTCACAGTCTAACTAGCATTTAACTTGGCTAAATGGATACTATGTTGCCATCGTAACGAGAAATTGAGCATTGAAAACTCATGGCTTGGCCGGTGCATATCTTAGCCGGATAGACACACCATTTTTATTAGAAAAAAACTATATGCATGAAGATCTTATACCTAGATAGTGCATAGCTTGGCTAGACGGACATGGTGTTGCCAACGTAAAGAAAATGCTCGCATTCTAGCCAGCATACAACTTTGCTAGATGGCCATGACTTTGTCATAAAAAAAAAAAAAGCATAAAGAGCTCACAATCCGGCCATCTTGCAATTCATCCATATGAACACGGCGTTACTATGAAAAAGAAAAACCAAGCATGAAGAGATTACAAGTCAATTAGCATGTGCTTTGATCAAAAGGACATGAAATTTCCATTAGAAAGAAAAATTAAGCATGGAAATTTTGTGACACTGCCGACATGTAACTTGGTCAAATGAACTTGTATTTTAGCTAATTTCGAGAGTATGGCACTCCTTTTTTGCATTCATTCATAATTTCTTTTCAAAGTATAGAGCCCGAATAATAGGTCAAGGGAAGTCACTTCTTGATACTATTGGCAAGTTGTTGTTGGCAACTTGGAGATTTCGAGGATTGTTGTCATTCTCAATGTCAAGCAAGTTATTCTTGTCAACAATTTTATTGGAATCAAGTAGGGTATTGCCATTATTATGAGTGATTGAACTGGTTACATGATTAATATTCTTTTTGGTGGTATTGAAGGAACCATTGTTTTTTTACAATCACTAACTTTCTAGTGCGATTGCCAAAATATGTGAAGGGGTCTTGAAAACTAATCAAACGAATGATTGACAAACCAATCAAGATACATGGAGTTATTATTGTAATTTGTAAAAACACCAGTCAACCAATCAAGTAAAA